TTTTATAGCTCAGGATACTTCCGGAATGCAGTAGAAACCTTGAAATAACAAGTTTTGAGAAATGATTTAAGTGTTTTAATTTATGTAAATAGTTTTTACTTTTCGTATCAGTAACTTTTGTTCTCAGTTGACATTTATGCAACTAGTTGTGTTAAAAATAAGGTGCAGTCGTGTTGAAATATGTAAGTATACGTAAGTAATAACAATACTTAACTTTGTTTTAAAGCAAATTTCAGGAGAAAATAAACCCAATACTATTTAAAAGATAAATTCTGGGCGTTTCAAGGCTTAACATTGAAACGAAGCTGAAACATTGTTCTGTTAAGGATTTGAATATTGATTCAGTATTTGGTGGTAATTCGTGTTTTTAGAAATCCTTTTTTTACCTAATTCTAGATAAATCTAAATAAAAAAACATGTTAACCTATTTTTTTTTCCGTAATGGATTCAAAAGGCTGTCATAGTGCGTGGATCTTAAGTGACCTGGAAGTGAAACAATAGCACGTGCTCGGTGTTCCACGATCTCATGTAATTCTAAACGTTTCTCAACACGTGTATAAATAAGATTTTTTATTGGCAAGTGGACGGTTTAAACTTAATCATTATGTAAGTTCTTAAGGTAATGTAATTTTATAATTTAATGACAATCGCAAAGGTGTGCGAACATCTAGATGATGGCGTATACAGATATTTGTGTTCATTGATTTCTAATTTAACTTCTGCTTAGGTATTCGATTCATCACATTAAAGTAACTAAAGTGCATTGTAATCATGTTTTATATTGTCTTTATTTTATTCACATTCACGTAAGGTCCATATCAAAAATAGATTCTGGAAGTAAATTGTTAAATTGTATGCCTATATTATCTTCGAATGAAATCGACTGTAATAAGTTGCACTTTAGATAACGAGTCTTTGTAAAAGGGCTCGCCGATGATGGACTCGAACAAGCCGATTGTCTCGATGTCCTTGTCCGGTTTAAATATCTGCTTCCTGGGCGATGTCTTCGCACCGGTTTTGCGAAACGAGATCGCCCTTAACTTTTGCGAATGCTTTCTATAAATACGATACATTGTAGTGTCAATGTATCAGTTGTCACTAAGTCGAACAACACAGACCACAATGTTCAAGCTGGTGGTGTTGTGCACTCTCCTGGCGGCGGCGGCAGCCAAGCCCGATCTGCTCTTCCCGACCGCCTACACGACTACTTTGGTGGAGCCAGCGAAGACTACGATCTCGCAGCAGGCCAGCAGTGTCATCCATCCATCACCATTGTTCTACTCTGCGGGGTACCCCTTCGCTCATTTCATCAAAAAGCGATCACCGGGCTTCTTCGCACCCACGACATACATCGCTAGCGCCCCCCTAGCTACTACTTATTCGTACCCCACATCGTTCGTCCACACAACACCGGTGGTGCACTCATCGTCCGTCTTCACCACAGCCCACTTGATCAAGAAGAGGTCTGCTGCCTTGCTCGCCGCGCCTGTCCTCGCTCACAACACTTATTTAGCCAGCACTCCCGTCGCTACTACCTACTCAGCTTCCTACATCAATGAAGTACCTTTGGTGCACACTCCCCTCTCCTACGTTACACCTGCCCATTTCATTAAGAAGCGCTCTGCACCCCTGATCACCTCCTACATTGCTCCCACTACCTACGCGTCTTCTTGGTACCCTGGCACTTATGCCGCTGCGGCTCCCTTGATCTCTACTCCATACATTTCAACCTATCCCTTTGGCTACCCTTCTTATTTCTTCAAGAAGTAAGATGCTAGTTATAAACTAAAACTTACAAATACCACCACGGCATTGTTGTCATTAAGCTTTTTTGAATAGTTTGTACATAAGATGGATACATACTGGTTGTATATTCAAGGCTCATAAACTTTTGTATTGTATAAATAAAAACAATATTGTGATGATTAAAATTTTGTTGAAATTCTGAATAATACATGTTTAAATAGATTTTTTGTTTAATTAAAAATCATTACCAATACAAGTACAGTATATGAAAAGTACATATACAGGCACGAACAATACACTTCTAACAATTTTAAAGTAATATCGAAAACAAAATACTGTCAGGGCTGAAAATATGTGTTGTTACTAAGGATGAAACTTCACTAATTTCTCCATGACTTCCTTTCACTTCTTAACTTTTATTTTTTGAAATAGTGTCTTTTGATTCTTGATTATCCGTTTCATCTTCTACTACCATTATCATATCTTGAGCTTCTCTCATATCGATGGATATCGGCTGAGCAAGAGCTCTTGATAGCGGTGTATGATACAGCGTTAATACTGCGTTGGGTATCATTGGCAGTACAATATCATTGTTCACCGTTATTTTGGGACCGTTTGATAAAATAGTCCCTGGACTGTAAATTAAAGGCGTTGCTACGTAATTTGATGAATGTTTTATATCTATTCTGGATTGATGAGAAACTGCACTAGGAGCTGCGTATATTATTGGCACTAGATTGGTACTCACTTGGTTTACGAACACTATTAGAAGAAGTGTAATCATTTTGATGTCTTGTTTGTTATTCAATATCGTAGTTAGAGAGGTTGATGTTTTATAGTTAGTTAACGGTATTGAATGCGGTTGTGAGTGCGCAATGTTCAAGTTCTCGGTCGACGGTGTCGGCAGGTTGCATCACCGTGTCGGGGGCACTGGCCGGATTGAGATGCACGCTTTTTATTATCGTGATTCATGACGTTATAATTGATCTCGCACTTGTAGTGTTATGCAACAATGTATCGTTTTTGTGTCGCATATTTTTTTATTTATTTGTAAATACCATGGATAGTAGAATGAATTTGTGAATCAATATGGAAATTAATTTTATTTTGGATACATAAAATTGGGTTTATTTCGCATCTCCATTGTCTGTCTATCCCTCCAGGTAAATGTGTGTTTGGTTATATATGTATGTTATTTTTGTGATAAAAACTTTCTTGAAAAAAAAAGCATAACTTTTCGTTTTCATAATTTCAAGTTTTTTTGTATCATATGAATGGCAATGTACAGAGGTTAGTGGTACACGGTTAATTTTTTTATTACAATCCCTTTATTTGCACCACTCCTTGCTATATCATCTATAGGAAGGAGAGGAGTTCTTGTTGCATTGCAATGAACAAGGCAATGTTTCTTAAAGTGGAACACCGTGTATTTCCGCGACTGTGCACTTGTGTCCCCGACTGTGTTACATATCAAAAATCTTAGGAAGAATGAATGTCAATATCCACATTATTGCATTAAAACCATCAATCAATAAAGCTAATATAAAACATGCCTGGCGGAAACCTTCACCTTACCATTCTAATGTCTCGTATTGTCGTATTGTAACCCAAAGGACGTGAACACCAATTTTTTTCTAGTCGACGGTGTTCAATACCGTATCGAATCTATTATTAGCTAGTAGATCCCTGTCACTGTGATTCATGGTACTTCGCTTTCACAGTATAAGTAGATGGTTTCCTGTCAGGAAATCATTAGTTTACTTCGAAATAGTCTAGCGATAAGTAGTAAATTATATATAAGTTAATAATGTTGAAATTCGGTCTCCTCCTCGTCAGCTTCGCCTTATGCCAGGGCCACGCTGTGTTGCCGGCAGT